TGCACATGTGATTACTCATAAATATTGAAATCTACCCTCTTAGTATTTCGAAAGTGATCATAGTGGAGTAGGATGTGTTTGATCATAGGAGTGTGCATACGAGCATTCGTCCATGTACATGAGCGTCTACATTTATACTGTGATTCATAATTAAAAGGGATGGTCACCGAATTGTTATTGCTAGTTAAATATGCGTTCAATAAAATATGAAGTATAATGAAACATAAGTATTAAGTAAAGCAAAAAAAATTAATAGATATATCCTAGATAGGCAAACAAATTTCGATAAACCAAAATATTTTATTCTAAATATATTCTGTGTGACTTTGTTGTCTAAAAGATATTTATAAACAATATAACAAGATTTTCTTTATCATACCTTTTTAATATAAACATAGACTATGTACTATATATTATATATATATATATATATAATATTAGGGGGCCATGGCCCCCCTGGCTCCGCCAGTGCTTGTGGACACAGGACAAAGAGCTTGTCTTCATTAGGGTTTTAGAGGATCCTGGTTTCTAGGCTTAGAAGGGGTCACCGTAGAGACCGTGCAAACTAGTGGGGGTAATGGTCAAGATGGTGGCAAGGTGGGGGCACTGTCTGTTGGGGGTGGTGGTGCAGGTGGCAGGAGCGTCGGTTTGACCATCTGTTGGGGGCGGTGGTGCTGGTGGGAGCGTCGGTTTGAGATGAAGAAGACATTGTGTCTAGAATTAGCGATGGTGGTGAACGAGAACTATGTAGTGATCGGGGCACGGCCACAGTCATGGCCAAAACGCCCAAGCCAGATAAGCTAGCAACAACAATGGGGGAGCGTGGCGGAGAGCTGAAGATAATAAGATAGATAGAAGAGGTGAGCGTGTGGAAACTTTTTTGGCTGCACGCACACACGCAAGTAGAGTTCATATATAGACTTTCGCGCATACTCGATCCGATCAGTCGATTGTGAGTGATCCACTCGGCTCCTGTGAAGTCTGTCGTTGAGTACTATGTGCATCTTCTTCAAGAAACAAGACTTCTACTATATCGCCTCATTGCACCGCAGCACCACCACCCATGTATCTCCTCATTGTTGGATCTATGTCACCATCCCCTATGCATCGGTGACTATGACGTGCAATCTCTTGTCCACCATCTACCTACACATAGTCTCCGTTATGCTGATTAGGTCCTCATTGCCGACATCGAACGCTACCACCGCTACCATACCTCACATTAGAATTGATCACCTTCGAGTAAGATCATTCGCCCAAACTGTTGCTTCTTCATCCAGCACAAGCTCATTGCAAACATTGTCCTATCTTCTCCACCTACTTCGTCTACTCTGACAACAATGGGCTGCAAGGACACCTTCAACCCCCACCGTTCTACACACGGCAACCATCATGGAGACCCTCTCTGCATGTCCCTTAAGACACTGTCATTTGTTAGGGCTCTCCCTAGTATATCTAGTATTAGCAACACAAGTGCATGCTTTTGTCCTCAACAAACGTTCCCGGTCCTATCAACCCCAGTGCACTCTTTGTCCATGGCGGCTTGACTACATCGACTACAGCATCAACACTCCCGTTCCCATATTGTCTACCTTGATTGCATTGTCATTTTCATCTACGTCCTCAATGGCTCTGACTGCACCGACCTCGGCATCGCCCTCGCCATGGCACCTATTTTGGTGATCTTAGCTTCATGTGCGACTACCTCGGCCTCATCAACATTATCACGACTATCTTAAGCACAGTTTCCATGACCATGGCTACTTTCTCTAGCGCTCAACTACCTCAACATCGGCACAAAGGGCTATCGCCTTGCTTGAGCAAACCTCATCAGCTTCCACTGTAGTTGCAGGATCCACGATGCATCAACCGTTATGATGGCTTGACGACTTACAACCTTCAGCTTCTTTCTTTAGTCTCATGGTCTACGCCGCTGTAGTTGTGATTATTTGGGGATGTTAGAGGATATTAGGACATATCCATATATCGTAGACTAGAATTGCGTAATCCCACTTACCTTATCTCTAAGGGAGGCTTTTGCCCCTAAGCAACATACTTCTATATAATATGTCCATAAGGCTCAGCAACACAATCGACTATTCCACAATTCTATTCTCCCATAGACATGAACAAGAGGACCGAGTACCGAATGCAAATGTTTTTGGACCATGTGATCCGTTGCTTCCATTTGGTCTAAATAATCCAGCATAGTAGTGTTTGGTTGGTAAGAAGACGGGGAACAAAGTCAATATCCTGGTGAGACAAGAGGCCGTCTTAGGATGGAGACTCGTGTGGTTGTGAAGGAATAGGGTGGCCGAGCTCGAGAGTATTGCTAGCGCCACACATCAAGTACGAGCTGCCTTTTTCAAAAAAAAAAAAGTACAAGCTGGTCCTGTTGCAAGCCGAGTTGATATTCGGTACTGCTTATATGAAATGTGAAGGTGAAGCACGACCATTTGAACAACGAAATGCTCCATCATTAATTTTCAAATGTACCTGAGCTTGTGTGGAAATCAAAATAAGCGTCAAGGCGCATGGTGCTTTATAAATCCACAAACTCCACCACGTACACATGCTTTTTTTTTCTTTCCCATTCAAAATTCACATCCCATAATAAGGCTCGCGAAAATCATGTCTCTTTTTACTAGAGTATGCAAGCAATGCAACGTGATTTTACGTTAACAAAGATGAATATCAAACTAAGTTTAGCTCGGTTAGGTTTCTTGTGGTAGAACATGTTCATCCTAGTTTTAAGTCATCCTCGATTTGCGTGTGTGTTCATATTTTTCTGGATTTATTTTAGAATTTATAGTGTTATTGTTTTAGTAGTAGATGACATGTCAATCGACACGAGGTATATATGGTGACTTTGCCAATCTTTATTTCTATCGGACATCGTTGGATACCAATAGAGAGTTCTACTCTTGTGGTAAAAAAAAACTGCTTGTCTGATTCAAGTTTTCGACTCACACGAGTGCTCATATTTTTTATGGAATTATTATTCCAAGATATAGTGACGCTATTCATTTAGTTGTAGTATGTGGCATGCCCATCCATATCGTCACACTTGTGGTGGTTTCATTAATTTCAATATCTGTCAAGTCACTCGAAGGTGCTAATAGGATTGAGTGTGCTTGTGTGTAGGAGAGCATCTACATTAAACCTGTGCTTTTAAAAAAATTCATCCTGAAATAACTTCACATAAACTTTGGCTATTCTGTATCATACAAACATAAACATATGAAATCCAAAATTACTGCCACAACGTCATATTTGAATGCAAACACAGATATCAAAATGTTACTGTTTAGAAAGGGTTATGAGAATTAGGATTCACCGGTATAAACAAGAAGCGATAAGAAATACTCCCTCCATCCCTCAAAGAATATAATTCTGGATGGTGTCATATTTTAGTATATCAAGTTTGAGCAATTATAGATAAAAATATAAATATTCATAGTATCAAATAAAAGCCATTACATTAATTATGAAATGTATTTTCACAATAAATTAATTTGGTTTCATAAACGTGAATACTATTTTAATAGAAATTTGGTCATACGTGGAGCACTTTGAATGTCACGCTTGTATACTCTTGGCGACAAAGGTAACATTATTCACCGTATATATCCAGACTGCTCCCATCAATACTCCAATTATTGGAACGGGTAAGTAGCGCAATTAATTCCTGACGCATCCAGGCAGCCACGAAACCTGGAATTTCTTGCGTGCGGACTCGTTCAGTGGAGGCTCGGACAGCTCGCCATCGTCCGCCGCACGGCCACGGCGACGGCGAGATGCATTTTCCCCCCCCTTGAACCTTCGATTTTTATTTTGTTTCGTTTGATTTGACGAATGGATGAAAGGAAAGAAGAAAAAAGGTAAACTACCTACAGACAGTAGTTAGTTTGATTATTTTCTTTGTCTGCACCGGATCGGGACATGTTTGTTACTCTACAGCTTTGGAGCCGAGGTGGAGGAAATCAAGCTGTCTAACTCTCCCATTTGGATGACCCTGGATAACTTTGTTAGAAAAATCCGAGTGACACTGACATTCTCTTCTCCCATCGATTTTGTTTTATCGAAAGCGCACTCTACTAGTACAATAAGATGCGCCAAATGGAGCTATACAACTATCCCATACACACTAAGCTGATTTCCGATATTTTACGTATAGAGAGATGTGTCTTTGTCGTATTGATTATCCTCTTTACAAAACTGACTCAAATTACATGTCTCAAATTTCCCAAAGGGACACTTACCAACGTACTCCCACTCGCTACCGTTCTAGACATTTAGTTTTACGTTTACAGGGCACTGTAGCATATATTGTGCAGCCATAGCCACAACTACTATAGAGTCGTAGCTGCTCTAGATTGTATACCACTAGTACAGGTATCAATTACAGTTGGGAGCAGGATCCATCTATCGATTAAGGGCATATCTAGATACATATAGCTATTTATTAGTTGAGCTAAAAAACAGCTCAAATTATATGTGGTTAACTAATAATTAGTTGAAAAGTTAATTAAAAAACTAGTTCACTCTCTAGACCTAATTTAAACTAAGAATTAGTTAGCTAACAATTAACCTATGTATCCAAACATGTCCTCACAGAGACTGCGGTGAAGTAGCAAAAGGTTTTCTGTGTTTAAATCGATAAAGCTCGAAATATCTCCTGTACATCTTTATACTCCTACATCATGGCAGAAATCTAACAAAAGCAAATAAAAGCTTGGTTTCCTAACCTCTCTCCCCGCCTCTCCGAGCTCCGAAGCCAACCCACAGTGAGAGAGAGACACACACACACTGCAGAGGAGCAGGAGAGGAGGAAGGGAGCCAAAGTCAGAGTCTGCTCACCCAACCAAAAAAACCTCCACAAACCAAAGTCAACGCCGGAAACCAAGAAGAAGAAGAGGGGAATCCTCTCTCTCCCTCGCCTCCCCTCTCTTTCTCTCTCTCTCTAATCTTCCTCTCTTGCCTCCCGCCGTCCTGCGACCATGTCCGCGCGCCCGCCGCCGCCGCCGCGCCCGCGCCTGGCGCTGCCACCGCGCTCGACGGCGGAGTCGCTCTTCACGGGCGCCGGCGACGCCAGCCCCGGCCCGCTCACGCTCGCCTCGGCGCTCTTCCCCTCCTCTGACGCCGACGGCGGCGGCGGAGGCGGCTCCTCCTCCTCCGCGACCGGGGCCGCGACCTTCACGCAGCTCCTCACCGGCTCCCTCGCGCCGCCTCCGCAGCAGCAGCATGAGGCGGAGAGGGGACGAGGCGTCGGCGGGGTCGCCAGGGCCGGGCCGGCGCTCTCGGTGGCTCCGCCGGCGTCGGCGTCCGCTGGCGCGTTCGTCTTCACGGTGCCCCCTGGCCTCAGCCCCTCCGGTTTGCTCGACTCCCCTGGGCTGCTCTTCTCGCCCGCCATGGTACGCCGTGACGCCGGCTGCAACCTCCTGCTGGAAGAAAATATTACGACTTTTTTTTTTTTGTTTCAGGCGCGAAAAAAAAACAGATTTTTGGATGTTGTTTGCGGTTCTTGGTTATTATTAATTAGCTTCGGTGAACTCATTTTGTTTGTCGTCTTGCTAGCAACTACGTAATAAAATTCTAAAAACCGCATGTATGCTATAATCGCCTTTTTTTGGCGTATTTATAGTGTTGCACCAGGGTAGCGTTACTTACGAGATATTAAGAGAGACAAGAGTTTTATTGATTGTATCTTTTAATACAAAAGACGGTTTTATATGTTCCTTATTTCATATTTTCATAGTTCATAGATTGTTCTGAAAGATGTTCCATTGCTTTCCCTTGTGTCATGACTTTAATCTGGGGTCATCAATCTGTTCATCTATGGGGTTTTCTTTTTGGATGATGCTAAAAAACAGGAAAGAGTAACATGGGAATCTGGAACTTCTGAAAGGTGTGGCACTTTTGCAGTTCTGTCAGTGCTTTTAGTGAGATGGTTACATATATTGTAGTACTGATCATGTAGCGATCAGGCTCATATGTTCGTCCCGAAACGCATAAAGCCACCTTACTATATTTGTGTGTGGCACTGCAGGGCACTGAATAATATCAGCATACTAAGATAGATAGGTGATGCTTCTTGATCTTTTAGATATGCCAAGTGGTGATTCGGGTACACATTGCATTAACATAATTGTACTACTGCCAGCGTGATGGTTGCAAGTTGGCACGCTATCTTGATACTGATCGGACAAACTTTCCTGTGAAAAAAAATGTTATTTGCTTCTTGCTTTTGGTATTCATATCTATTCATAGAGCAATTTGGAAGCATGTTGCTCATTTTGATGCGTTTATATATACTGGCCTCCAATTTGCTCTGCTCTGCAGAAGTTGTACAAAAGCTAATAGTTTGTTTGCGTTAAATCATTGTTCCATATTCACAATATCTGGTAGGTAGAGCCATATAGCAATTTGGAGGCTAAACTTGTACTTGGACTTGTAATTTTGTTAATATAAATCCTTAACTAACAGCTAAGTAAACCAGTATAAATGGGGCACAGAGTTGACCATTTGATGGTAAGAACAGTCAAAATTCTCGTTCAATATTTCCTACCTAAGCAGTGTCCATTGCTGGAGCTTCTGCTTTAGTCCTGAAGAAATAGAGTGATTTGAAATTTTCTGATGACTATCTATTCATTATTTATACAGGGGGGTTTTGGAATGTCACACCAGCAGGCTCTGGCTCAAGTTACAGCCCAAGCAACCCATTCTCCACTCAGAATGTTTGATCACCTTGAACAGCCATCTTTCTCCACAGCTGCAACAACGTCTGGAGCTCTACAGCATATGAATTCTGCAGCCAGTATGGCAGGAATTACAGATATGACAATGGCAACAGCAAACAATGAGAATGCATCCTTTCAGTCTGCTGAGGCATCTCAGAGGTATCAAGTTAATGCCCCTGTTGATAAGCCTGCTGATGATGGCTTTAACTGGCGGAAATATGGTCAGAAGGTGGTAAAGGGCAGTGATTGTCCAAGGAGCTATTACAAATGCACTCATCCCAATTGTCCTGTCAAGAAAAAGGTAGAGCACGCAGAGGATGGTCAGATATCTGAGATCATATACAAAGGCAAACACAATCACCAACGTCCACCAAATAAGCGGGCAAAAGACGGCAACTCTTCAGCAGCTGATCAAAATGAACAATCTAACGATACCACATCTGGCTTGTCAGGTGCCAAGAGAGATCAGGACAATTTATATGGTATGTCTGAGCAAGCATCTGGTTTAAGTGACGGAGATGATATGGATGATGGTGAATCAAGGCCACATGAAGTGGATGATGCTGATAATGAGAGCAAAAGAAGGTAAGTTTAGCTCTCAATGCAACTCTACTATGATCAGATTGTTGTTTCATAAAATTAATTCCTTTAATGCTCAGGAATATACAAATTTCTTCACAAAGGACCTTGTCAGAGCCTAAGATTATTGTGCAAACAACCAGTGAGGTTGATCTTTTGGATGATGGTTATAGATGGCGCAAGTATGGGCAGAAGGTAGTCAAAGGGAATCCTCATCCAAGGTATGTTGTGTCCTCTTCAGTGTGATCTGTGTCATTTTTATATCTGCTCACTCTTTTTGGAAAGTCCATATGGAATGTAAGGGGTAGGCAACATTAAGATTTGTCTGTCTCTGCATTGATGTCACAATATATTCAAAGTTATTTTGTTCATAATAAGATGTTACCAAACTCATGCCGTCTATTGGATAATATTACCATTCTTACTTTTACTAGTCGCTACTATATGTACAATCTTTCACTTCAGCGTTTTGAAGTTATATATTTTGGTTTCATTTTCACGCCTCTTATAATCTGCTGGGAATCCTGTAAAAGATAAAAGGAATATGTTAGGAATTGCATGTGTGACCTTGAATTATTCATTGATAGTCCATACAGATATCAATATTCTCTAATTCATGCATCAGTACAACTTGCAAGGAGTGCTATCAACAACAACAACAAAGCCTTTAAGTTCCAAACAAGTTGGGGTAGGTTAGAGTTGAAACCCAGCAGAAGCAATCAAGGTTCAGGCACGTGAATAACTGTTTTCCAAGCACTTCTATTTAAGGCTAAGTCTTTGGGTATAATCCATCCTTTCAAGTCTCTTTTTACTGCCTCTACCCAAGTCAACTTCGGTCTTCCTCTGCCTCTCTTCACGTTACTATCCTGGCTTAGGATTCCACTACGCACCGGTGCCTCTGGAGGTCTCCGTTGGACATGTCCAAACCATCTCAACCGGTGTTGGATAAGCTTTTCTTCAATTGGTGCTACCCCTAATCTATCACGTATATCATCGTTCTGAACTCGATCCCTTCTTGTATGACCGCAAATCCAACGCAACATACGTATTTCCGCGACACTTATCTGTTGAACATATCGTCTTTTCGTAGGCCAACATTCTGCACCATACAACATGGCAGGTCTAATCGCCGTCCTATAAAATTTGCCTTTTAGCTTCTGTGGTACCCTTTTGTCACATAGGACACCAGATGCTTGGCGCCACTTCATCCACCCTGCTTTGATTCTATGGCTAACATCTACATCAATATCCCCGTCTCTCTGTAGCATTGATCCTAAATATCGAAAGGTATCCTTCCTAGACATTACTTGACCTTCCAAACTAATATCTTCCTCCTCCCGAGTGGTAGTGTCGAAGTCACATCTCATATACTCAGTTTTAGTTCTACTGAGTCTAAAACCTTTGAACTCCAAAGTCTCCCGCCATAAATCCAATTTCTGATTCACTCATGTCCGGCTTTCATCAACTAGCACTACATCGTCCGCGAAAAGCATACACCAAGAGATGTCCCCTTGTATGTCTCTTGTGACTTCATCCATCACTAAGGCAAACAGATAAGGGCTCAAAGCTGACCCTTGATGTAGTGCTTTCCTAATCGGAAAGTCATCCGTGTCTCCATCACTTGTTCGAACACTAGTCACAACATTGTTGTACATGTCCTTAATGAGCCCGACATACTTCATTGGGACTTTATGTTTGTCTAAAACCCACCACATAACATTCCTTGGTATTTTATCATAAGCCTTCTCCAAGTCAATAAAAACCATGTGTAGGTATTTCTTCTTCTCCCTATACCACCCCATAACTTGTCTTATTAAGAAAATGGCTTCCATGGTTGACCTTCCGGGCATGAAACCAAATTGGTTCATAGAGACCCGTGTTATTGCTCTCAAGCGATGCTCGATAACTCTCTCTCATAGCTTCATAGTATGGCTCATCAACTTAATTACCCGGTAATTAGTACAATTTTGAATATCTCCTTTATTCTTGTAGATCGGTACCAATATACTTCTCCACTCGTCAGGCATCTTGTTCGATCGAAAAATATGGTTGAACAGCTTGGTTAGCCATACTATAATTATGTCCCCGAGGCATCTCCACACCTCGATTGGGATACCATCCGGTCCCATCGCCTTACCTCCTTTCATCCTTTTCAACACCTCTCTGACCTCAGATTCTTGGATTCTCCGCACAAAGCGTCTATTGGTGTCATCAAAAGAGTGCTACCAAGGAGTGCTATCAAGTTGTCTAATTAATTGTGATTAGTCGTCCTAGTCGATATCCTGCAGTCGGCTAGGGGCGATTGGTCGTCCTAGTTAATATCCTGGACTCGACTAGGGGCTACGACTCGATTAGGCCGTAGTTTTCTGGTCGTCCGAGTAGTCGTACGATTAGGGGGTGGACAACCAGAAACAGAATGGAATTGTTGGGCAGCTTAGGACATGGGCTGCATCTGGGATGGCTTAGGCCACTTGGCTCATGTTTTTTTAGCCCAATTTGCAACCCTACATGCAGCCACCACCCTATCTTCATGCTTGATTAGTACTTTAGAACATATAGTATATTAGTATATACTCCCTCCGGTTCTCTAAAGCAAGTCGTTTTGAGGTTGTCTTAAGTCAAACATTTTAAACTTTGACTACAAATAACTTCTTTTGGGTTGAGTTTGAAAATATGAAAGTGATGTAAGCAGATTCATCTCGAAATATAGTTTCATAAAAGTATATATTGACTATATTTTATAAATATTTTATAGCAAAAAGTTACAGTCAAAGTCGTTTCTTAAAGACCGTGTCAATGTCCAAAACGACTTGCTTTAGAGAACCGGAGGGAGTATTGGGTATATTAGTCCTGATATATATACGATGACTAGGACTGACCGGGGCCGATTAGTCAGCCTGGTCGACAACTAATCACAACTAGTCACTTGGTTGGTCCCATGGTGGCTAGGATGAACTAGACGACTGGATAACATTGCTTGCAAGTACTTTTTTCAGCCAGTAACAGTGAAATGCTAGTGTCATGCCCTGGCTTGTGTTATTGATGCAGCACGTTAGCTTAGCTAATGGTTCCTTGAAACATGTCTTGTTAATTATTATGTGTTTCTCTCCCTGAATGAGTTGGATATGATGGGTGCATGTCTACATATTTCATTTGAAAGGAACCTACCGAATATGCCAAAGTAATGTAGCCGCTAAACATGCATGTCTAGTTAATCAATTGCTTTTGTTTAATGTTTCATCCAGAACCTCTTTAATGTTTCCATCAACAGACTTCTGAAATAGCCTCTAGCTCAAAAATGGAAAAAGAAAAACCTCAGATTGTTTGGCTTGTGCTTGCACTGTGTGGCTTATTGGTGTAAAAGAGTTAATAAGGTTTATCCCATTCCTATGAAATGATGGTAATATGTCCACACTGATCAATGACACACGATATGTTGTGTGAACGGCGGTGTCAATGGCAAGAGCGCGCTGCCAGCCTGGGGAAACTGCACCAGGGTGTGAATGCCCTGGGGGGCCCATGTCGGGAGCGATGCCTCGGTGATAGAATGCATACCATCAACGTCCCTTACAACACCAGGAGTGCCGCTGAGTCACCCACATCCCCTTCGGTGGGCGGCTGTGGCCTGCAGCCATCTAGCTGGTTGCTCATGTCAGAACGCACACACCGGAACATGGACAGATTGGTCAGAGCTGCCATTATCATGGAATGTGGTTTCTGTGATGATATTAATGAGCGCCTTTTCGTTATGCTGTCCTAAAGCATTGTCATTCTTTTTAAAACATTTGAAATCTAGATACTCAAAGTAAATCATCAGAGTGCTAGACGTCATCTGTGTAATTGACCTTAGATCACATACTCCATCTGAACCATTCCATTGATGTCATGAATTTAGTGGCATTTTATCATTTCATGGCTAGGCCGACGAGAGGTCAACCATTCAATGTCAGAAGCAAACTCATTGTTAACCGCCATAGACTGTTTGGTGGTGAAGTTTGAAAGAAAGGATAGACTAGTAGGATAATGAAGAAAATTAAAACAGAGTAGCTATTATCTGAGCCTCATAAAATATTTCTAGAAATGATGGGTTGGCTAGAGGTAAGATTATTCATTGAAACTATCTTAACTGGGGGGCAAAGGTTGTTGGATGAGACTATGAGAGCACCGCCTGCATGATATACCTCTCTATGCACATGTACTTTTACCTTACTGTTTGACTATTCACTCATTACCTACATGATACACCTCTCTACCTGTAGGAGTTACTACAAATGCACATTTGCTGGATGCAATGTCAGGAAGCACATTGAGAGGGCTTCATCAGACCCTAAGGCTGTCATAACAACCTATGAAGGAAAACATAACCATGAACCACCGGTTGGTCGCGGCAACAACCAGAATGCAGGAATATCACAACAGAAAGGGCAGAACAACATATCTAGTAATCAAGCTCCACTTCCGAGACCAGACTTCAGCAACGCTCACCAGATGCCGCTTGGGATCTTACAATTCAAGAGCGAGCAATAGTAACATTCATTTTGACTCAGCTCGGAACCTTGCTGCTCACTGTTACTTGGATGAAGTTCTTTTGGCAAATACCGGATGCCTGCAATTCGTATAGTCATATGGCATCAAAGTTTCTTAAAGTCTGATAATTGAAATGGTATCAGTTTGCAGTTTTTTCCATAGATACACAGGATAGCTGATACGGTACCATCATTTCTAGTTTGTACATGTTATTAAGTTCAAGCATGCAGAATGTTATACCAGCTAGGTGGAAATTATTTATATATGCTTATGATGTTTTATAGATGGATCAGTGATATACATGTTTATCTTCTGTTTTTATTCCCAACATCCAACAAGATCTTGTATGTATTGTAATAAGATTGAAAATAGAATTGAATGTACAGATGTTTTTCAGTTACATTTTGCTTGTTGTAATTTGTAACTTTCAAGATATTCTAGTTTTCTATGTCGTTTCCTTTTCCTCCTTCCAAAGTTTGTTTGCTTAGTCTAATATGATCACTATTATTTTGCATCTGGCTACGAACTACCCTGGATGTCTAAGCCGGTAGGAGTAGGACTGCCTGTATAATTGTTATTCAGTTCTGGTGCTGCTATTTCTTGTCAGACCAATTCTCAAGCTACGTAAATTCAATCTGAGAAAAAAAAAACTTTTCCTAAGATTTTCTTGTACTCTCTTCGTTCCAAATTGTAAGTTGTTTTAGCTTCTCTAGTTATATAGCTTTTTCTACGTACCTAGATATGCACTATATATAGATATATAATAAAACTATGTATTTTTTTTCGACCGGGAATAAAAGTTATGTATCTAGAAAAGTCAGAACATACAATTTGGAATGGAGGGAGTATTAAATGGTAAATTGAAACTCACTTTTTTTTGCGAGTAAATTGAAACTCAGTGTCTGGCTACAAGAACAATGATTCATGTGCGTAGGCTCGAAAGCTGTCTCAGATCGACAATTGGCAATTGGCATGCCTGCCCCACCATTGTATGAGGTACAATAGTTTTTCTTTCTCAACTTTGGCACTTCGCTGTTTCTAGCCTAACGGCAGTACGTCTTTATTAGAAAGTGCAAAAGTTTCCGGCCTCTACAACCGTGCACACAGCAAAAGTAATATATATGTAACCTATGCACCTAGCCACCTAAGCATATTGTCCATTCTTATGCCATGGACACTATTATCACTGCAAAAATTTCATGCACATCACTGTCAAGATCTGCTAGAATGTCATAATCTAATGCTGCTACATCTGCTCCGAATCTCAGGTACAATTAGGTTGGTTGAGCACAAACTTTTTGAAGGGGGAAAAAATATATCATTAGGTCATAACCTCCATGAATGATTTTCAGAGTGAAATTTGACAAGGACATTTGATCCTAATGGTAAGCAGTGCCTTACCCTATTTTATTCCTCTGAGTTAGAGGCTTCCTGAACCACACTTGAAGCCAAAGGTACGTTTGGCCGAATGCTTCTGTCCTGATATGATATCATCACCTAAGTAGGGCTAATCATGTGTGATAGCATATTAGAGCTTCCTGAACCACACTTGAAGCCAAAGTTACGTTTGGCCTGTTCTCTTAGTTGTATTTGGCTTATAAGCCATGGCTTATCAGCCAACGAACAGTATTTTTCTCTCACACCAAACTAGCCAACAATACTTTCAGCCATGGCTTATAAGCCAAACCAGCCCAAACTTACAGGGCATCTTGCAAGTACTACGTAACATGTTGCCTTGTATGCTTGTTTGAACCGGAGTTCAAGTGCAATCAGGATTAAGTAAACAATATGTTTTTTGAAATAATTTATTTAAACTGATTTTTTTCTGATACTATCTAAATCCAACTGTTGAAATGTCAATAATATTCTAACCTCTTATAGAACAGTGAGCTGTCTTAAGACTTCTTAATAATGTTGGGTGAGCCACTTGGTGGTCCTGGCCAACTGTTTCTTTCTGCTGTTCATTACCATGTATATCAAATGTTTCTGTTCACCCAAAAAAATGTATATCAAATGTTTCTGCTAAGAAAACTTGGGGCATGCACATTACTACTTTCTTTGACGAAATTGTGTTCTATTTTAGCATTCTATGCTACTGGTTTCCCAAAAATAACAATGCACAAGATGTTATGAATGTTATGAATGTTTTTATCTACTGGTTTGCCAGAAAACATAATAAAACAGGAAAACAGAGTGATAGCTTAACTAAAAGCCAGAGAACTTGTACTCATCTCCCATTGGGTCATACATACCAAAAGCCTATCAACTTCACTATGCCCTAGCTTTTCCTCCTCCCAATTATTATTCATGTAGCTTGGCTAGTCCCCAGGTACAACTTTTTGTGATCCAGTGACACCGAAAGTCCATGCCTCTACTGGACCAGAGTTGTTGTAACATTGTGGCGCTGGGAATCCGCACATATTTTCCCAGATCTGGATTGGATTGGAGTCCATGAATAAAGTTACACACACAAAAAAGCTGGTGCAAAATCATTGAAATTTTCACCACTCAGCAGCACTCACTACTGACTTGTCCAAGTTGATCTGTACATGCACTCCTACAGTACCATGTGCTCTTCTCCTGCTTGCTGTTGCTTTGCTTTGGAATCAAGGGAAGATGCACTTGGAAAATGGTGGGGCTCAGGATCTCAACGACTGAACCAAATTGCTGGGTGGCATGTCAGGGTGTGTGGGGATCTTATCCATCGCATGATCGATCCATACAGCTTAGCTATCTGCAGTTACTGGAATGGCGAAAAATATATGTTGCATATTAAATGCAAAACGTGTTTTTAGGATACTATGATCCTGATATTTATGGTGAAAAGCCTACTTATATCCATGTACACATTCAGCATTTTAACTAGTCAAGGACCTGAACAGCATCAGAAAACAACATAGCAAATGTGTATATAATGCATGCAAAGTCGTAGATTATTCATATGAAACACTATAGACACTTCTGCTGTGATTATTTACAAATGTCCTCCTTAGCAGTGTGATGGACCTAAGACTAATTAACAGCACCTATCTAATGTCCCCAGAACCAGCCATTAATAACCCTTATTACTAGATGAAGAAAAAGGGCAAAATAAAGGAAACCAAAAATGAAGATTTATCGATAAGCATCGACATCACGAGATGTCTGGCCTCTACTGATGTTCCAACAGTAAATTTGCAGGGCGGGAAGAACAAAAAAAATCAGACTCTCAAGTCGTCCTTGCGGTCGTTGCCATCGAGCTCCAGGTCCAAGAGGTGGCAAGAATGGCTGGCCTTGCAGCTCTGGTAGACCATGGTGGTGACGATGGTGTCGAGGACACAGATCATGGCGTGGATATACGCGACGAGCAGGCCCTCGCAGAGCATCCCCGCGGTGACCTTGCCGGTGGCCGTGTAGGGCCGCATGACCCGGAGCTGGAACAGCGCCTCGACGGCGGCGGTGGCGAGGCTGGCCGGTAAGGACGCGGCCACGGCGGTGGCGGCGTCGCCGGCCCGGAGCAGCATGAGGAGCGCCTTGAGCATGGCGTGCGCGCCGCCGCGGCCCTCGGCGGCCGCCACCACCGTGGCCAGGTTGCACACCGCGGACGCGTTCGCCAGCGCCACGGAGTAGACGATCACGCCGGCGGCCGAGAGCGCGAGCACGGCCCTGCTCCCGCTGCCGCTGTCGGAAGAGACGGAGGTGGGACGGGAACCGTGCGGGGGAGGACCAGCGCCGCCAGCGCCCACGCCCAGCAGGTGCAGCGCCTCGGCGGCATTGAACGCGGCGAGCAGCGCGGCGAACACGGCGGCATTGGCGAGCAGCAGCGCCAGGCAGTTGACGAGCTGCGTCCACGCCATCGCCGGGTACGACGACCGCAAGACGGCGGCGGCGGATGTCTTCTCCTTCCGCCGGCGCTGGACGTGCGGCAGCGACGCCGAGCAGCAGTGCACGGCGCAGGCCTTGGCGAGGAGCAGGAAGGAGAGCGAGAAGGGCATGGCGGCGAGGAACGCGCAGGCGCGCTGGGACAGGCGGTGGCTGAGGAGGAAGAGCAGCTGGGACGCCGGCGGGAAGCCCGCGGCGACGAGGACGCGGCGGAGGCGGCGCGACAGGAGGTGCGACGGCGCCAGCAGCGCCGGGTGCGAGCGCGAGAGCAGCGCGGCGGCGGAGAAGGGCAGCGCCAGGAGCGACGCCGCCGAGGACGCCGGGTGGTAGTGCCGGAAGAAGGCATGCAGCGCCGTGCGGATCATCTTGCCGGCGCCGCCCATCATCCCTTCCCTTCCCCTTGTGTGCTAGCTAACGCTAACTACTTCCAGCTAGTGTAGTGTGTGTGCTTGGATGATCTTGCTCTTGATCGATATGATGTTGGCTTGATTGATGATCTCCTTTATAAGTGTTTGGGTGCTTCTTGTGTTGTTGGTGAATGGTGATTGATCGTTTGGTGTATGCTATGCTATGTGGTGGTGTTGGGTAGATCGATTTGAGATTTTGGTTATTGTGGAAGAATGAACTTGAGGTTATTAGCTGCTTGGGACTTGGGAGTGTAGTCAGTAGTGTAGTGTAGTGTAGTTGGACGACGGGGTTTGGACTAGTAGTAGTGTTTGAATGTTGCTACCTGACTCGTTAGGACTTGGGAGGGGATTTGATGTTGTGGGTGTGGGTAGCAATGTGAATGGGCCCCTTTCCTCCAAAGTAGATTCACTTTTTATTTTTGGGAAAAAAGAAAAATTGGGGATGAATTCCCACTAGTGCCACAATAATGAGGATCATGAGCTAAACACCCTGTTCGCTTGATCGTATCAGCCATACTTATTAACCATAATACAATGTTTTTCTCTCACAACAAAACAATATCAGCCGGCTTATAAGCCACAGAAACGATTAAGCGAACAGGGTGATCTTGGCTTAGTAGGAACCCTGAGATCCCATGGAGACCTGTTTATTAAATATTAGACATGTGGACCCTATGTACTCCCTTCGTTTTTATTTATATGTCGTATTAGTTTTTGTCATAAGTCAAACAT